TACAAACTCTTCCGCTGACTGAAGTCTTATCAAGAACAACCTCACTGTGGTAGATTATATACAAATCATTATCGTGGTCATCTTGTCAATATTCATTGTCGAATCATGATGCCACTAAGCATCTCACAACAACTGTAAAAACTTTTTAAAACAATACCTGGACTATGCTTCTATTCAAATCCGGTTACTAGTGAGCTAATTTACATAAGTTTGCGTTCGAAAACAAATGGTTGTAAAATGACAGCTTGTGGAAAAAACAATCAAATTATTCCTTTTTCAATGCCACTTTTCAAATCAAATAGTTCTAATTGTTTCCTCTCGTTTATTACAAACACAGTGACCTCCTTCTTTAAACAACCGTTGTTGATTCTGTATCTTGGGGGCTTTTATTTGTGCATGCATCCGGCAATAATTGTTGTGCACTGAACCAAGCCCCGTTGATTGCATTTGAAAATTGCAGCTATTTAGTGTTAACCACGGAATGAGAGAAACAGTGTGGAAAAGTAAACGTGTTTCTCAAATATTGTGTTAGTAGTTACACAGCAGAATAGTTCTGCTAACACATTAGATTATTAGCAAATTTTTTATAAATGTTTTATTTAAATTAAAACTAGGTTAGGAATAACATTTTAAATTAGTTCTTAAACTGCTTTGTTAAAGATATAAGTAATTTCATCATGTTATTTTAAAGACAAAATATGCTAAATAAATATCTTCTTGATTTTCATGGAAGATTTTTTTCCCTTTTTTTAATACTTTTGAAATGTGACTTTGAACTACTGTGAGGTGCCAGTTAATCATCAAATGTATATAGTGAAACCTCTTGGAGGCGACTACTATCTGCTCCTTAGTAAAATGGTAGCCTATGGAGGTTGGTCTTAGGGGTTACCTTCACTAACTTTAAAAACATGAGAACAGGTTTGTTTGTTTAAGATACTGAAATAATGAGATCTTATTATAGGGAAATCCAATAGTCTTCCTCAAGACACATCTGTTGGAATAATTAATGCGATATTTCTGAATAAAGAATGAAAATGATTTAAGTACCAACGTTTTCTCATTTGCGTATAAGGCTCGCCGTGAAAGTATTTTCTTTGACGGTAATTCAATATACGCTTTGTTTCTTTGTAATAACGTATCAATTTGAGACATAAATATAGTTTGAGAACGTGTCTGAAAACAAATATAAATAAAAACGGAAAGGAGGAAATGCTGCTAAAAAGTCATTTTATTATAGCTTATTTACGAGAAAATAAAAATATAAAGGACAACTACGACATTTTTAAGCGTTAAATCATATATAGAGAGAGAGCTGTTGTTTTATTCTTTACTTAAGATACAAGTAAATAGTAATAAATACTTTATAAATAAGAATAATGAGAGGTTTCTATACTCATACTGAAAACCTATATCCTGTAATTGAAATGGCTACCAGTTTTTTTTCCTCCCCTTTTCAGTTTTCTTTTCAGCCCTGTATGAGAACATTGTACTCTCAGATATATGAACGTTAAAGTTGTGTCTTAAAAAATAAAATAAAAAAGAAGAAATTCCTTCATGTGTTAATGTGAATTTACTAACATCTGTGAATTATTCTTGGTATCCCTGTAATAGATATATGTTAGATTTATAAAAAAAATATTCGTCTGTACAAATCTCTCAACAGCTTTTCTGTTTGTACATTTTGATATGATTCTGACTTAATACTCGCCTTTACATATTTGTCATAAATACCTTGAATATCTCAGTGATTATAACGTAACCCTCCGAAAACAAGAAAAAATCTTAATCACGATCCTCTCCTTCTATAACTACGGAAGTGCCATCAAGACAACCGTTCCACACCTACACGCGATAGAATCTTTATGTCATTTGCAGGGTCATTTCCTTTTATTTCTTCTTCCCGCTGCAGTTTATCACTAGCTTGATAAAGCTGTTCTTAAAAGTGTTTGAGTGTCGCTTTCGGTTTTTGTTCCAGAAATACGGCAATCATACGCTTCACTAACTGCAAAATTATGTGCATCTCAAAAGAATACTTTCATCATAGAAAGTGATTGTTGTACATTGGTTGTTTTTGGATTAAAATTTGTAAATCTTCAACTTTCGAGAAATTTTTAAATAATATCTTTTGATTACTCCATTAAGTATTTATCAAAATTTAAAGTATTAAATTGCATCGTTTTCATCTGTTATCGATCAAGATTATATTACAGTGACTGACTTTTAAACTAAATGGCGGTTTGTTTGCAAAACGTCCTGTTCTATGAATATTAAATACGAAATATTTACGGTTTTGGATTTTAAAGAAATTTCTGTTGTTGAAATTATAGTGTTTGATAATGCAATTGTATAATAAAGCTTATAAAATATATTTCTTTAAAACATTAACAATCTTAATATCGTTTGCTGGGACAATTATTTCTTATCTCTGTAGTTTTCGTAGTTCGTCTTTTTTCTTCTAGAATTTATTACTTGCTTACTATTCCTAAAAGTGTTAGAGTAGCGATTGTGGTTTTTGTCTCGGTTTTGAAATATGACAATCCTATACTTCACTAACTGCAAAATTATCTGTATTTGAAAAGAACACTTTCATCATAGAAAACGAGTGTTTCACATTGGCTGTTCTTGAATTCAAATTGGCAATTTCGAATACTTTCGACTGATTTTTACATTAAATCTATTGATTATTTATCCAAAATTTAAAATAAAATGATTTCGTTGCTCTGTATTAAGAATTCTAACTAACAAATCTTTCAAACTTTATTCGTAAGACAACCAGTTCTATTTATTTAAAATGCGAAATATCTGCGGGCTTGGATTAAAAAACATTTTTTTAACGGCGCAGTAACTGAAAATGTGATTCTAAAGTTTGATTGTATTATAAAGTTTATAAAATTTATTACTTTGAAATATTAAGAATCTTAACATCTTTGCGTAATTGAAAAGCAGTTGTTGCTGGGTCATTTTATTTTATAACCGTCGTTGAACAGCCGACTCAATTTCGGGTCTACGACTACTAATGTTCAACTCCGTAGTCCTGTAATTTTGAACCCAATCCAGAAGACAAGCGAGCTCCTGGATCAAGGATTGGAAGAAATTTGCCTTCGTGAGGGACTTTTTGAGGGAACTAACCTGCATTAGCGTTACATGAAGAGGAAAATCACCGAAACCTCCGATGGTAAGCCTGACGGCAAGGGGACTCGAACCCATGATCCGTCTGTCACTGAGGATATTTTACGTCAGCACTGTTATCAATGCGATCTGGGGGCGGAATTCGTATCGACCAGCCATGGCTGGGATTCGAACCCGGTTCACCTCATTGGAAGGCGAACACTCTATTCCTTGAGCCACCACGGCTCTTGCAGGGTCATTTAGTCCTGAAAAGAGTAGTTTGATACTATATCTGTCGCAATAATCAAAAATCATTATAAGAGCAATAATGTATGCAATGTAGGCACATAAGGCACAATTAAGCTCACTATCATGGAAAGTAATTATAACACATTGGGTGATCTTGTATAATATTAGGGATTTTTTTTTAAACAACAATTCTTTGACTGCAATTGAAGGTATGTTTTTAGAAAAGAATTGAAGTAACGATAAAAGAAAAAGAAGGAAAGAAAAATTTTGAACTTCTGAAATAAAATATCAAGTTCAAATGAAAGGTAATTATTTGTCACATCGAATAGAACTTGTATTCCTACTCATTCAGCAATTAGAAACCAAAGGAAACACGTTGAAAACTAACATGCTAGACGTGCAAAGCTTTCTAAAAATTGTTCTCTTCTGTCTTCCGGGTAGATGAAGAGTGTCACACTCAGTCGCTGACCTCTCCGTTTAAAATTGCGATTTTAAATACTTAAACTTTCATCTATAGCAATACGGGAAAGAAAAGCGCCATCTGTTGTTGGACAAGAATTTTTTGCCTTCGTTATTCACTCATTTTATTTATCTATTTTCAGATTAATTTTATTTTTATAACTCTTCTAAAGTGACGCATGGCAACAACTTGGGATTTACAACAACTACTCACGCAAATGATATGGAGAACCATAAAATAAAACAAATATTTAAAATATGTGTTTATTTATTTCGGAAAAACTATGAGAATTAATAAAAAAAATATTTTAAATGATTCGTAATTATCAACCGTGAAATGATCGTGCTATTTTTTTTCTACATCAGTTCTTTCTCGTTCGTCAAAAATACATGCTAACTTTTAATTTATTAAAATTTAGGGGAGGCGATTGTGCGTATAACTTACATGGATAAAGTATTTGAAATTTTTCAGGTATTTGATTTTCTTTAAAAAATATATTAAAAATCTTACATTGTTGACAATTTTTTTAATTGTTCGAAGGTGTCCTGAGATAAAAAAAAATCTCCCATTATCTGTGTGAACCCATTATTGTCCGACAACCACAATGATGTAAAAGGTGTGTTTACGAAAAATTGATATTCTCAGGGTTTGTGCAATCCGTAAACATTTAAAAAGTGGTAGCAAAATAAAAATAAAAAATTATGTATTCTACCAAGCTTGTTTTCAACAATATTCTTAATATTTCCAAATAAATATATCTAGTCACAAAATCATTGGTATAGAGTTTTCAATTTTGAATTGGAAGCTAATAAAAAAAATTAAGTCATCAATTGATATTTGGGAATATTTTTAAATTTCCTGATTTAGAGAAATGTATTTTATGGAACTTAGCAAGTACGCTTAGGACATTAGCAAGTACGATCTTAGAAAGCGTATTTTAAGTTAAATGACATGCTTTAGCTTTTTGTCATTTAAGGAATAGAGGGTGCTAATGGTTGTTAGAAGCAAATAGATTTACATTTCCAGTGGTTTGTAGCATCTATTTGAATTAATGTTGCCAATCTGGTTATACTGCACCGAAAAGGGTTACAGTAGGTTGCCAAATAAAATCTCCATTAAAGATCACAACCAACAAGAATCTTTTAGACACAAATAAAATTTATTGTTTTTATTTCGTCTACAGCCTTTTTTTTTTCTCTTTACAACGTTTAACCAAAGTCAGATTTCAATCTTTACAAGGCTTTGATTGAAGACATCTAAAATAATCTACACTTGTTTTGAAATTACCAAACATACTGGCAGATATAGCCTACGGGTCGAGCACAGTCAAAATCGTTCCAGAGGTATTCCATTTCATTCATCATTTGCACACATTGCTGTGTACCTCCGCTGTCGTTGGGTTGGTCTGGACCCCAAAAAGTCAGATTCTGCAGAAGCGGTGCTCCATTATCATAGAAGAACACTCCTTCTCTTTTTCTGATTCCAATCCATGACTGTAGAATGTTGCCTTTTTTCATCATCGCTAAAAATCAATATCAATATTTATTCTCTTGTTTTTTTTTAAAGCTAAAGCTGCTGGGGAAGGAGAATTATGCATTTTTGTTCCTAACTAGTATGTGACATGAAAAATTCTTTAGCCCCTTCTCCCTGCTGACGTTGAGTTTGACCATTAGAACATAGCTAAAATCTCAGTGCGCTGCCGCGAAATGGCATCAATTGATTCGTCGGATTTTTGAGACATAATGGGAGAAAGTGCGAAGCGGGAGTAGAATCGGGGAAGAGGGGGGAGGGGCAAGCACCAAATAGTAAAGCCAAGAGTGGGAGACCAGGCGGCTTGAACATGTGTTGAAATCAACATGAAATGAAGCATAATTGAGATTAAACTAAATTAGAATGTAATAATATTTACAAGAGCCAGAATAATATTAACATCTACGCAGGTGTAATAAGACAGAGAAAATGTATGTAACCATTTCTATATTAACACGAGATTGACAAAAATCCGTTAATTAGAAAGAAAAAGTTATAGAAGCGATAGATAGTCCGGCAAATACACTCTATAACAAAAAAGCACCAAGAAGGAGTAGTCCGATTGAAACGAAAATTGGTGGATAGGAAGACAATGTACAGAATAGGAAATGATGAAAATTTCAGAACAATTGAATAACAGTAACAAGTTCAATAAGGTGTTGAACCGCCTCTAGCCTGGATACACGCTGCCACACGGCGTGGCATAGACCGATAAAGCTCCCGGATGGTCTCCTGCGGTATTTCCTGCCAAATTCGATCCAATGGTCGAACGAGGTCATCAACATTCCGTGCCAGATGTATTCGCCTTCCCATCATATCCCAGACATGCTCGATGGGAGAGAGATCTAGTGATCTGGCAGGCCAAGGAAGTGTTTGACAAGCTTGCAGACAGTTCATAGCAACACGTGCCGTATGTGGTCTGGCATTGTCCTGCTGAAAAACCAGCCCAGGGGGCTGCAAAAGGAACGGTAATAAAACAGGTTTTAGAGTGTCGTCGACATACCGCTGTGCGGTAAGTGTACCTCTAATGACGACCAAAGGGGTCCGGCTGTCAAAGGAAATGGCACCGTATACCGGGCAGTAACCCTAAA